TATCGGATAAAACCTAAACGATACCCATCCCTACCCACGACTAAGGTCATTGTTCCCCTGTAATTAATGGAATTTCAATGTATTTTATTTGAAATTACAGCATAATTAGCGTAGGCACACTAGAATAAGGGGGTAACAAGTCAGGCTTTTACAGGAAACAGAAAATAATTGCACTGCAAGTAAAGTGTCTCACATGTCTCGTGGAATAAAAATAGATTTTTCCCACTGTAGGTATGCGCGTCTACTTTTTGCCTGTTTAAGCAAGTGGAAACTGGACGTTGCGTCTTCCTGACATGATCAAGTGAGCTGTGACCGCAGTGACTCATCTTGTGAGGATTCATCTTCTGTCGCTTCAAGAAGCGTAGAAATAAATAAATAAAGGCACAATAAAACTTCAGAGTATCAGATAACAACCTAAAGTGAAGGAGCTCAGAGGCCTTCATGCACCTTCCCGTGCTTCTGTCCCTCCCCTTGCTTTCTTCTTGCTCTCACCAGTGAAAAAGCCTTGATTAACAGCCCAGATTTGTGACCTGAATTTGCACCCTGTCTACAAAGACTAACATGTTTCTTTCATGCCCAAAAGCTTTCAGCAAAGTGCAGTCAGGTCTGGTTGGTCTGTCACTCATTCTCTGTCATTCAGCTGCCATTTCTTCCGCAGTCACACTGAAAGAAAATGGCAAATTGTCCCTGCTGTCAGTGAAACTGATATATTGATGAAAAATGGGCTTAAGGACGTGAAGGAAATTGTGTAGTGCAAGAACCTCTAGTTATGGAGATGGAAGAGTGACATTATGCAATGAATAAAGTAAGTGGTAATTGGCCTGCAGCGTAATCACTTGTTTGTGTTGTTTCTGAAGAATTAGACTCCCCGAACATTTTCATTCATTCAGGCGACTTCTCTTTGATAACACGGGCAATTTTTCAAAGTCTCTTTTTTAAGTCCTGATTTAAGTAATTGCTTACCGTCTAAATTGATGTTACATTATAGGTACGAGGCTGGTTTCATTCAGAGGTGCGTAGATTCGTTTTTACTGATCGTTTTTTTCGCATGACCCCGGAGC